CACTAACACAGCACTTGAAAACATATCAGTAGAGAGAGAGAGAGAGGTGAAAGTAAATTTGGACTGAAGTACAAACAGAGAAGTTGAGGCAGACCGTGGCCACATGGGCACCAGGTCATTCTGGGAGAGGAGATTTAGGCGACACGTGCGCCGAAGAGTCAGAAGGCGCCTTCTCAATTGCTGCTGGCGAGGATGATGATGTCTCTAATGACACATGTACAGTTGACTGGGCAGGAATAGAGGAAGAGGCCGGCCAAGTTGATGTTGCTGCCGTCTTCAGGGTGTCGGAAGGCAGACCTAGTGACTGGGCAATTGCCTTCGCTTCGCCTTGAAGTCGACCAATACGTTTACAGAGAACAGCCAAGCTGACATCACTGGGTTTAGTACTGTGTGGCGGCGTTTTAACGGTCATGGGCTCACCAGCATCGCACTTTGACGACACTGAGGAGGGAAGGGAGGATGCTGATGATACGGCATCTCCAGACTCTATAAGAAGGACGAAAGAGTAGATATGTCAGGCAATAAAGCCAGGAAAATCAACTTTTGCAAATGGTATCGAGAACGGAGGGCAAACAAGGTGGCAGATCGAATTATTTAGAGGGCAGGAAAGACCAGAGGTTAGATAGTAATACTGATGAGACAACGTGTGAGGAAGTAAAAGTACGGAGTAGAAATTAATGGCCACAAAGAGCTTAATGGATTTAAGGTGAACTGCACAAATACACGACCCACTGCAAGAATCTGCGCGCACCTCTAAGACACGTTCCTCACTTCACTGGCATTAATACTTCTTGCCACTCACTGGGAAAGTAATGGCTCAGGCATAATATTAAAGCCAATTTTGTGGAATCAGTTGGATCATACTCATGATGAACGTGATAGTAATTGTCAGCGATCACGAGCGATGAAATACAAATCCAATAATAGGGCCAGCAAACATCCAAGTCTGGTAACAAAGACGAAGTTAGGATGAAGACCTTACGTCCGAAACCCAAAGACTAACATCTCAACGAAATTCTTTCACTATTTTTTCTACGTCAACGATAACTGATGCAACTTAGCAGTCTTGTAATTTTTAAAATAATGAATCTATATAAGTGAACCAAGACAGGACCTGATTGTAGCTAATGCTCCCCGCAGCATCACGGGAAGGGACATCTGTTAGTAGGGTCTGGTGTTTGGATGGAAGTGGTTGCGTAGGACGCGACCTGGATCTATAAGTGGACGTGAAGCCCACCCTGCACTAATGCATAACAGTTAAATGCTCAAAGGTTGCGTAGGAAAGCCACGTGTGGAGTCTTGTTGGAAGGTCAGTTCAGTTTTATTAAGGCAAGGTAAGCGAACGCCTTGACCTCCCTGTTGGTCAAAAATTGGCTAAGAAAAACATCGACATGGGGCGAAAATTCAAGGAAGTCGTCTACAAGATAGCAGGCGAAAAGCTAGCAGCTGTTTGCAAGTCGAAAAGGCTAAGCGTAAACGAATGCTCATTTATTATCAGTATTATTATACGTAATTAGTTTACAGTCCGTGTATAACTCAGCCATGGGTAGGCTGATGCGTGTCCAGTTTGTCATGTCTTAATCTCGATCTTTTATATGAAGTTGACATGTCAGGTTGGTGTCCGGCCATAGCTGAAAGTAGCACCGTTGTATTAACCGTGACTGCCTATTCATTATATTGCAGAGAGAACCTGCATGGAAATGTTCTCATCTTATCCCCGGATAGTGGGTGCGGTGGTAACCTAACGCATTATAACTATACTTAAATTGATAGCAGTCTGGCTTCGGGCTCACTGCACTTTTTTGCATAACTAACTACTTATTTCGTGGTAGCAAGAATGTTTTTCTCACCACAAAGGTATGACACAGCCCAACCACACTGCACTCCCCACACGGATATCTTTAGTGCCCTGCAGTCATTTGTAGTTTTTGGTTTTGTCTATAGTTTTAGTTTCGTTTTGGTTTACTATTTAGTTTTATTGGTTTGAGTTTACTACATATTAGTTTTTAATTCATTATCTAGTTTTATTTTAGTTCCGTTTACTGGTCTGCGCACTTCCGCGTTTCGTGCAGCTTTTCTTTCCTATTGGTTGAATCATAACACGGGTTAAATGGGTGGGGCACATCAGGGGAAACGAAACATAATTAGAAAGTTAGGCGTATAAGAGAAGAACATAATAGGAACAATTATTTAAAGAACCTAAAGCTTGACAACAAGAAAAAGTGCGATAATTCAAATCGTAAATACAATTAATGCGAAAAAAGAACGCCGCAAATTGCGAAATTGCGCAAAAGACTGAGCATTTTCAAGATTAAATTAAAATCATGAAAAATGGGTTTTTTTCCATTCTTTTAAGCGGAAAAGCTTAAATAAGAAAATATTTGCGCACGATGATTAAAACTACAAATGCAACTAATGTGAAACAAAAAGGCCCAATACAGCACAACTGGACACAATCCTCGAGTCCATATTAACTCTATATCAACGAAGCATGCATACTGCTACGAAGTAAGCACACCGTTAGTCGAAACACAAGCTGTAGTGGGCCCCAACTGTAAGAGTCACCGGTTGTATTTTCTATTTTAATAATCGGGGGCTCGTTTGGTACCATACAGTGGGTTATTAAAATAATTGTTTCTATTAATTTCTAATTTTGTGCGCCCACCTTTTTAATTACTTTTTCTTTCTCCGATATACTCCACCCATTTAACCACTCTTATCGCCGGTCTCCGTTTACAGAATGCTGGAATTTTCGCTTGCTGTAGTGAGCCCGAAACCAGACTTTTACCCTTAAATTTTCCAATACGACTTTGGTCAGAAAGAGATACCTTGGATGATGTGGCAATACTGTACCAAGACGCAGAAGACTAAGAATATATCTCTCCAAACACCTACGAAAATCACCGCTCTCTAAAAATGACAACTTTTGCAATATGCGTTTTCTCACTGACTGTAGATATCCTTATTAATACAAACACATTAGGGCTCCAAACGGTGTACTTATTGGGCTCTACAGGAGGTTATCACATTCTCAAAATTTCAAACTCTTTTTGTCGTTACACCTTTGTTTCCGGTAGCGAAACCACAAATCAGGCACCTTCCATTTAGGAAAATTTCTATGAAAATATGGACCAAACTGCACACTGCGAAATGACTGATCCTCCTGGAACCGCCATAATTCAGTCTCAAAATGCTTACTAATGGTAGACTTTGTAGGACAGAAAGCCGTTCTCTATGTAAATAGAGCATTTGAAGATCTCAGCCGCTCTGAAGTTAGTATAGGAAAGGATGGCTTGTGCGTGTCTTTTGTACTTTTTTCATCACTGATTAAGTCATCAGGGATCAATGAAAATCACATACTGACTAAGCAGTCATTCTTAACAAGTATGATTTTCACCGGTGGTCGGAAGGAAGTAAATTTTAGGGCTAGCATCCTAACGTATAGGAAATACCTTGAAAGAAGGCTTCAGGCAGTTCAGTATTGCAACACCAGAGTAGTAGTAGTTTTTGCCAGCCGAAATAATATTTTCGAGGTTAGGCGATAATTTCAGGGGTTAAGTCCCCTCGTTAGCCCGGGGTCGCCATCGTTCCAATCGATTTCGGTGGGACGTCAGAACATACGTAGTGCAGTGTCACACAGGCGCAGGATGAGGATCAAAGAAAAAAACTGTGACCGACAGGATGCATCCAAAGCAGCCCAGAAGGTACTAAACGTTGATGACTTACTCAGAGTCTAAAAGTCACTAGTGAAATATGAAAAGCAAATGAGCCAAATTCAAGACGTTTTGGAGTACATGCGCCAGCTATGGCACCTTATAAGCCAGAAGCCTTCTGCCGTCTAAAAACGTCTTCGTAATTCCCAAAACTCAAGCTGGACAGGCACACAAAGTGTATAACGGAAGACAAAAGCCACGAAAGCAACCGTCTCGGCTACCCTTAGGGCGCAGTACGGAACAAGTAACGGTGAATCGGCAGCGACAGCAGAATTGTGGGTATCAATAAGCGCAAGAAAAACAAAATCTAATTGACTTGAAAATGGTGCACAGAAAAAAAAAACACTTCCTTCCCTCATAGTTCAGCAATTAACATTTTTTTAAATTCTAACTGCTGATTGTAATGTGACAATTGCTAACTCCGTACCATGAATGGGACCGGCGGTGGCATGAAATCCATTCATTGTAGCCTGCGTCATCCCTGTTGACTTCCCCTCACGGTTGTCAGTGGGAGAGGACCTGAAGTGACACAAAAAAAATTCATTAAAAGTCTGGTTGGCATTTCTGACTATTCCAAAAAAAAAACACCCTTTAAAGCGAAACAATAGTCAACTTTCAAGACTATCTTACCACTATCAAGCCTGATTGAAGGACATACAGCCTGAGGAGTCGTCAATTACTACCTGACACTTGTCTCTGCATCCAGCACCCAACCACGACTTCGAACATACAGGTCCATGGTATAGCCTTATCCTAACCCTAAAATTGCTCAAACCCCAGATCTAAAGCGAGCACCGTAAATCCAACAAAAAGTCCACAAAATTTGAATAGTTCTCAGTGTTTGGGGTAAGAGCACACTACTCTAAACCCATGCTTTAAGGAGTGAATTGCATCAAAAGACGCTTACCGGTTGTCACAAGTAAATGGCTACCTAAGTCCGTTTTACGAACTGACGGTCGGCCGTGTCTAGTTGCATGAGGTACTATTATGGTACGGTAAGGAGTTATCACCCGGGGTTCCACAAAACTGTACTGAGCACTGAATTATGGTCAGTGTTAAATGTATGCCACGAAAGCCTTCCAATAATCTTCTTAATAAGCGGGTTATTACTGCTTTGAGGAATAGGAGCGAGTAACCCCGAGTTAAATTGCTGTCTTAAACTTTACGGCATTTCGGCACATCTGAGGGTCAATCACGATGCATTTGGGTTGAAGGACGGAGGAAGGAGACAACAAAACCGATACTAAGTCAATTTAATGAACAAAATAAATAATCTCAAATGCGTTTACCGGGAGAGGATTATTGTAAGTCTGACTTTGGAGAAACCGGCCGACAGTTGCAAATGTGAACGCATGAGCATAAGCTGGTTGTAAGAAGGTTGGACGCAAAGTTTCAGATAGCAACCCATACCGCAGTGATGGGGTGCGACTTCAAAATTGACGCAGTTGCGATTGTGGGCCGAAGTGACGATCACACATCAAGGCAGAGTAATGAAGTCCGAATGTTCACCAACTGTTCAGCAAACGACCGCATAAATTTACCTGTCCCCTATGTTATTTGAAGAACCTTCTTATCAGGGGACAGTCACGGCATGGAACAATCGGGGTCTCCAACTACCTCCAGAGCCAAAGTGGAGAAGCGTGAAATAATCCAGTATGAGACATGGGACGACGCGAGACAACAGATGGCCGATACACATGGAGGCGAAACAAACAAAATCGCCACGACAGCAGACA